CTACTGTTATGAATCGTAATGTAAATATCTTTTTGTTTTCCGATGGTCTTAGGCGACCCCTGTGAAAGGGTCGTTCGACCCCCAAAGGGGTCGTGACCCACAGGTTGAGAACTGCTGCCCTAAAGACCCAGGGTCTTTCTGCTTTTGGTTTTTGGTTTTCGAGCTGCTTTTCTGAGACACCTGTGCACAGGTTTTTCTGTAGTTTACCTTGTTCTTCCAGCTGGTAACTGTCTGTTGGTTGCCCCCAGCTTCTCCTCAGATCTGGTTTGACTCAAAGCGCAGGTGCATCCCCAGTCTGAGTGTGGTCAGGACCCAGGCAGCACCCCTGCTTATTTGAGCAAGTGAAGAGAACTGGGCCAGGTGCCTGCAAGAGTGTGTGTTGTAAGCATCTCTGACACTTGTGCACTAGAATAGAGCACACTGAAATCTGAATTCGCCTAAAGCCTGAGTGTCAGGGTAATAAAGCAGTTGGAAGTGACGATCTGGCCATTCTCAGAATTATTCTGTTACACTTTGCCAAAGTTTTTGAAAGAATGTGGGTAATAGACTTTTTTATTGATAGCCATTTTAGATTTAGAAGGAAAGAAAACAGAATTGGCATTTGTGGAGCCTCTTGTCAGGTGCCAAATGCTGTGCTGGGTGATTTCATAGCTTTTGCTCGTTTTGTTCACTGTAAAGAGAAATCATTGATGTAAGTGCCATGAGCTCTGATGTACAACTTGTGAAAGGTCCTGCTGAACTTGAGCTTAAAGCTCATGTTTCATGTGGTTTCTGTGGACCATTACACACGAAACATGTGAAACTTAGATCTGAAGCTCACACAGAAGTAAACCATGTTTCTCCTGCCTTTAAAGGGATTGTTAACTGAATTTTATCACCCAGCTAAGTGTGCTACAGAACAGCCAGGATTTCTGATAGCTTTTGCTGTTAGCTATATCCTGATGAATTTTGAAGAGTGTTTCACTTCTAGGGCATTGCTTTGCCTTTGACTCTTAACTCTCAGACATCAGAATTTGGTTTGACAGTAACAAATAATTTTGAAGGTTAATTTAGAATTATGAAGTAATACTTAAATACCTAAGACTGTCCCTTTTGAGTTAGAGGAGTGCTGTAAAAAGGTACATTCAGATGAGTAGATTTGATCAATGTTCTTCGCTGTACAATGCATACTAACGTGATGGTGTTCCAAGATAGAACTTGAGCCTTTTTACTTTTGTTAACAGATTGAAGTGGACCTTGGTAAAAAGTGCTGGTATCACTCTATATTTGCCTGTCCCATTCTTCGTCAGCAAACAACAGATAACAATCCTCCCATGAAATTGGTCTGTGGTCATATTATATCAAGAGATGCTCTGAATAAAATGTTTAATGGTAGCAAGTAAGTGTCTGACTTTTTAAATGTGGGTAAAAACATTTCTTTGTAACTTAGTGGGAGGATAAGAAGTAATGAGCATAAGTAAATATTGCTAGAATTTAGAAATAAATAGATTTGTAACTTCATTTGGCATGGTGGTTTCTGATCTTTAGTCAGTCTTCTTAATTCGTGGATTTGGTGATTAGATTTATAAGCATGATCTTGAACTCTGGGATAGGCCACACAATGTCGCCCCCCTATCCTTTCTATGCAAATGGTAGCATGTAGCATACTATATACTGTTCTGTCCCTTAGTGATGTATCTTAGAGATCTTTTATACGCTACAGAAAGAGCCCTCGCCCTCTTTTTAAAGCTGCAGAGTATTCTACCTTATGGAAATAATGATCATTTCACCAGTTCCTTATTGATGAGCATTTAACTTTTGTTATTAGAAAGTGAATTACTTTATATGTGATATATAAATTCATAGACTTGAAATCACTAATTTAAAGGATATGTACATTTATAATTTTTACACATTACGAGACTAACTTAAAAAAAGTCCCAACAGCCTATTTCCAGCTTAGGTAGCTGGAAAATGTTTCACTGGAGTTTATTTGAGACCCAGTGAGTGGTAAAGCCTTTTCTTTAAGAGGAGGCCTTGGCATGTAATGAAGGTGTTTGTGCAAATCATGCTGGTTTCATGTGCCCACTAGAGGGCATGTCGGCCGCTCTTGGTAAGCTACGTGCCTTGTAGGCTCAGCGGCTGGTATCAAATTTGCTGCTGTTGAGTGAATTGTGCGACCAATTGATTTGAAACTCATTTGGAGACAGGTGCAACTTAAACCTTGGAGAAGAAAAATTGGATTTACTTTTGAAACCCCCAAAAGCAGTTTTCAGAACAGTTGCTTTGTTTTGTTTACAAAACAATTTTTACTGATTTCCACTGCAGAGGGGCCTTGCAGTTTAGGGTCTGGCTTACATGGCATTTATTTGTGACCCTTCAAAGCTTGCCTGTTATAGTAAGGGAAAGCACAACTAACCCTCACAATTACAGACATGAGTGTTTGTTTGTAAGTCTGTGTGTGTATAATTGATAGGTGAAATTGAATGCTCAGTACTGATCCTGTTCCTTGATTCATTTTTTTCTCCTTGTCTTTAGATTAAAATGTCCATATTGTCCAATGGAACAAAGTCCAGGAGATGCCAAACAGATATTTTTCTGAAGAAATGATTTTAGTTTGCAGTTTGTAAGTGAAACTGAATTGTGGGTGCATTTCAGAAGAGAACGTTCCATTTAATGCAGCTAACCAAGGACTCCTGTGTTTATATAAGCTAACGCTCCAGAACCTTGGCGAACATTTTAGTGCACACACACCGAGGGAGTGCTCCAGATGAATATTATCATAGGGCTTTATTATATTCTTGGTCTTCATTTCTGATCAAGGAAATAAAATACACCAGCAGTTGTCATTCAATGCAGGTTTTTGTACTTAATTATATGGTGATTTTTTTTTTAAGAGCAGAAACGGAAAATGACCTGTTTGCCTGCCATGTGTTTAGTAGTTCTCCTGCTTTTACTTTTGTCATTTACTTGATAATTGTAAGCTTTGAGAATGTTTGTGAAAAAGTTTTGTTTCCTGTTATATATACACTTAATTGAAAATTCTTCAGAAAAAGTTTGAAAAACTGAATTGTGCTTATAAAACTAATTTGCATTTTGTTTTTTGCTTAAGGAAGAAAGCTGTGATAGAGTCCAAATTAGCTTTTTTGATGTTTTTCTCTGCTCCAGCTCTCACTGAGAAGTCAGCAGACCTGCATTTGAGCTCTACTGGTAGCCTGGCTGCCTCTTTAAAATTCCGTCATGAATTTAGCAGGTTGGTGTGAGAAGTCTTCCGCCAGAACAGAGTAGAAGGAGTACTATTGTTTCTTTGCTTTTATTGCCAAGAGGTGCTTGTTTTAAAGGTGTGTTCAATAAAATGAAATTCTGAAGTTAGAAGTGTTCATAAATTGATATTTGCTCTCTTGGTCTTGGTAGCCCTGTTCTCTGAAATTTGCCTTGAGGAGTTGGCTGACTATTGCATTTGTAATCATTGCAGACACAGTGGTGTGTGTGTGTGTGTGTGTGTGTGTGTGTGTGTGCATGCGTGTGTGTATGCGTGTGTATACGTATGCACCAGCATCAGACATTGTGCATCTGGACGGGAAGAAGCATGTTCTAGTCCTAAAATGCAGTTACCTGACTCATTACTTTACATCCTTACAGTTAGGACCTAGCAAATTTTCTGTAGTGCAGAGCAGAATATGTTTATTGCTGTTTTTGTATTTGAATAGTATCCTGTTCAATGCCTCTCCTGCAGCGTGTGTCCTCTCATTACCATGAATCTGCATCTTACTCTAATGGATACACATAATGAATGATCTTTTGTGAGGTATCTTCGTTTAATGCACTATCCAGAAATAGCCATGTGTAAGAGTCTTTCTCTGTATGATGAACTACATGGAAAAGACTTCTGTGGACATTATTCTGACTTAAATCCATTAAGTTACTTCATTATGAGAAGAATGTTATATGGAAATCACCAAATATTTTGCAACTTTATTTCATCTCACATGGAACTGAACATCACTATGGGAAGACTTTCATGAGAAAATGAAAAAAGAAGAAAACACAGAATCAAAGAGAACCATGACTCTTCACATTTTAAACTACAAATTGACTTAATTTGGGGGGACAGGGAGAGAACAGATTTGGTGCTAATTGGAAAGTGGCAGCATTTGCAGTAGTATGCCAGACTGGATGGCTTATCCTCAAATGCCTACCTGAGAGAGCTGGGTTTGTTTCTAAGGTAGAGCGGGACTGCAGAGAGCCCTGCTTGACTCATGTGTGATCAGGCTTATGTTGAGGGCTACTGTGTGCTGTGTGGGTTAGCCAGGAATCATGATTAGCTTGCTCAGAGTGCTCGCCTTGTCCCACCTCAGTCACCCTCACAGCGACTTTGGCCCCGTGTTTCTGCTTTCCTGTTGAAACCCTCTCTAAGGCTCCCCCTCTCTCCACTAAAGCAGTGAAGGAAGAAAGCAGAGAGAAGCTCCTTGGACTCCAAAAGAGAAGGTAGAGAATTCAAGACAGTACTCTCTCTGGTCAAGGATGTATAACTGCTTTATTATATATAGTTTTCCTTTGAATTAAAACCTAGAGTCTTTTTTTTTTTTAACCTTTTTCTTACTAGGCCAGATTTAGCTTTATTTACAACTTATTATCACCTTTTCACCTCAAACACCTACACAGCATTTAGGCTCCCCACAAGGTTTGAACAACATAGACATCACTCTCTTGGCTGGTGGTAAATATTTTTGGTGGCCAGCAACTCACATCGCTGTCTCAGGCCACGTTCAAGGATAAAAGCCAGAGCTCCACTTTGTCCCTCTCCCAGTGCTGGGAATCCTGTTGACAGTGTAGCTCATGAAACTTTAAAAGGAACTTACTTTAACTGAAGCATTTGATTTTACAGTTTCCTGTGCAAGGTCCTTGTAGTACTGCTGGGCAGGGTTAGGGCCACACATTTAAAACTCTTGACCTGATCATTTATTTAATGTGAAAATTATGTGTTGTGACCTTTAACTAAATGCATGGACTTAAAATTCATTGGTGACTAAATGTGAAGCAGAGGTGGATTGGTGGATTTGAAGAGGCCAGATCTTAACCAAAGATGCTGAAATACGACATGTTGTCCTTCCCACTCTAGAAACACCTTCATTAATGGTGTCAGGACCACGCCATCCCTGCGGCTGTGGATGTCAGCAATGTGGGGGGATGTTCTTCATGCTCTGCCCAGAGCCAGGTTTTTTACTGTCAGACTAATTATAATAATGGACATTGAAAACAGAATTTCAGAGGGGTCTCTTAAACTTGTTTAGGAACCATTTCCATTAGTCAACTGTGGACTGTGCTAAACCAGTAAAACCTTACTAGGTTCTTCGGTTCTGATTTAGCCAGAGCATCTGTGCTGTCAAGTACAGTCTGAAGTACAGTGGCTAAGGTTTGTCTTTTCAACTTTTCCTCTGTGTGATCATCCGAGATGCCATTTCTGTTGTTTTAGTGGTGATTATATGAGATTCGAATGCATAGATGAACGGGTATTGGTGACTCTTGATTTTAAATTTTTTGCAAAAAGGAGCCACCTCACATTCATAGCGTTTGTCAGTATTTTGTGAGTGTACAAGCATTTAATTGAAAATAAGAAAGTTACAAAGTAAATCTTCTGTTTTGATTTTTCTGTAGCAGCTGATGTATAGACACTAAAACCCACACCACATTATGTGGGGAATGAGGATCCTTTTTTCTCCCTAGTTGGTGCCACAGGTTATGCAGTTTACGTTCAGTCTCCTTTATGCAGTGAGTAATTTCCACCTTAGTGATGTCAGCCTTTGGGATAGTAGGTACTGCAAAAGCCACGAACTCGGTCATCCGCACAAGACAAGCTGCTGATAGACATTAGCCCCCTGGTTTCCAGCCCAACCTCTGATTAAGTGGACTGCCAGTCAGGCTGGTCAGTCCTCTTAGTCAGAAGACTCAGGTTATTTTCAGGGAAGGAGTGGAGGCATGGTTGCTTAGTTTCATCACTAGGATGTGTAGGTGAAGACACAAACCAAATACCTTTCATTACTTAACTCTATGAACATTATCTTTGGTAACACTAGAATGCTGTGGTCTTGAGGGAATGTTAGCAAGAAACACCCTTGGTCCTTCAGTAGCCCGTCCAGCTGTGCCGGGCTTTCTGTGTACAATAGTGTTTGCCATACGCAGGTACAAACTTTATGGACTGTTTATTGAACTATAATTGAATAGATAACCAAAAATCGAATGACAAATGTATTTTAATAGCAGATGAGGCAACTAGTTTTAGGACAAGTTTGCCACGGTTGATTTTACTTCAAGACATAGGGAGAGAAAACAGTTTGTTTTCAAGACATTTCCCTCTACAGTTTTTAACTGTAGTAAGCATATGGCTTCATTTACTTCCAAAGAGGCAAAAGAAGCAGGCATCGACTTGTAGCACATGCTTTGTTTCATGTGATGGGTGAGGACCTCCACTCTTATTTTAGCAGTCACTTAACATTCTCCAACAAAGCAGATGTGAGGTTCACTAGGATTTAGTGCCTGATCTTTTCTTTGGGGAGGGGGTAGGAGTGAATGTATTGGGGATGGGAGGGAAGTGGGAGAAAAACATGGGAGTGTGAGTGAGCGTGCATGTCTCTGAAATTCACCGTCATCCCCACCTGTGTCTAGCCAGGAACAGGTATTTAATGTATTTTGCTAATGACTGCAGTGTGCATGTTTTTTTTTTTCTCCTCCTCTGTGTTCTCTAGACTTACACTAAAAGGATTCATCAAATCATCTTGTTCAGATGGCTCAGGATTGTATTTCTTTTGCTTACCCTGTGCTCTTGGGTTCTATAGTATTTCTATAATTATGTAACAAGAATAGTGTTGCACTGTAATCTATTATATAGAGCTATATGTATGGAAAATTTTGATCAGTTTTTTAAGAAATGTATCCTGTTTGCAAAGGCACAATAAAGTTGCGTATTATAGACTATAGGCAATAAAGCCAACAATAAACCTTATTTAACACACACCATATTCATATTCTCTGTTCATTTGATTTTGGGAAAAGTCTAGACTATCCAGTAGTTTTGGGGATTTCATTTTAACTTTAAAAGTTTTGATATATTAGAGTTTGGGAAACTAAGAAATGCTTCATTAATGTGTGTATTCCCTTGTCAAACACATGGCTTCTCCTGTGTCTATTTTTAAAAATTAAAGAAATGCACATTTTACAGGTTTTGTGGAACCAGTCTGTATAAATGTGACAGAGGTATGAGGGAGGGAGTTTGGAGGTGCCGATTGTGAGAACATTGCTGAATGCATTTGCCTAAGGGTCTGCACGTACACAACTTAAGAAAATATCTTGGTCACAGTTTTTTCCTGTTTCTATGCCACTGGCAGTGTGAGAAGAGAAGGTGTGTGGCACAGTTCCCAGTTTCTAAGTAGGTGGTTGCTTAGTGTTTTCGGTAACACCCATCCTGTGGTGGCCAGGACCCTGTCCTGCTCTCTGACCAGAATGAGAGTGTATGACTGGGAAGAGACTTCCAGAACAGCTCTACCCAGGCCACCGGTGGAGTGGGGCTAACAGCACTTGCCAGGGAGGAACATAGACTGAGAATCTACTTGTGCTTTTGTATATATATTTTTAGAGAAAAACTCATCTGAGATTTTAGAAGGTTTCCTACCTATGGAAACCATTGCAGGTACCACCCAGGCACATTTGGGACTCATGGTCTAGGTGGTAGAGACAAGGCCTGGCAGGCCGGGCCAAAGATCTCACCACCTAACCCAGCAGCATTTGGGGCTCTCTGGGTCCATAGCAGATTGGCACCCCCTGAGAGCTTAGGAGAAATGCTGAATCTTGGGCCTTAGCCCAGACCTGCTGAGTCAGAGTCTGCATATTCATCAGGAAACTGGCTTTCAAGGAGCTTCCTGGATGCTCCCTATTTTATGAAGTATGCTCCTTAAATTTGGCAGGTAAGGATCACGTGTACTGAACATGAAGAGTGCATGTTTCCCTTTTCTTGATGACTGAGTTCTGAGTCATCAAAAAAGTTAAATTTAGTGTGCTTTGAACTCTGTTTTAGTGCACAGCTATTTAAAAAACTTGGTGCATTTCTTTAAGCATCTAGGTACTTGAAAGAGCGTTATAGTTGCAGCATGACAATGTTTTTTCCACCCCGGCCCCACCAAAAGGGAAAGATGAGCACCAGCGATGTAAAACATGGAATTTTGTAATGGCAAAATACTGAAAATGCACCTAAGACAAAACAGTAACCTGGAAGCCCCTCACGCTCCCAGCGGAGAAGCTCGATAAACCTCCCAGCAAACAAATGTCGCTTCCCAGAGGACATGCTTTCCTAACATTTTTTCTGGCACCCAGTAAGAAATAAATTGACTATCATAACCCTGGATACACATAAAGTTATATTTCAGAAACAAGTTTTACAAAACTTTAATCCTTACAATGTGTGATGCACTGTAATACTTTCTATCTCATTTATTTTTTTTTTAGTGCTCATCAAGACTGAAATTGATTTCATGACTAATGGGTCTAGATCCACTGTTTAAAAAACCTTGCATTAAGGGACAATGAATCCATTCACAAAGCTACTTTGAAATCTCTGTCTATATATGTACGATGGAAAGTATTGTTTCTTTTTCCAGAAACATTCCAAAACAGCTTTTCTTGCTTTGGGGTGTTATGTTCCTGTGAGTCTTCTCTGCTAGTAAATATATCTAAATGTTAGAAGTATTGTCTATGTAAGAGCTCCTGTCTGTCAAGGACTCTTGAGCTTTCTTAGCTATGCTTCCAGCTTAGAAAAATACAAAGTGCTTCATGCTAATTTGCTTGGCAGTACAAACCTTTAGTAACAAATGTGTGTCAAGTGCAGAAAATAACATTGTGTCATGGCACCTTCAGTGATTTAATGGGATTTTTGAAGTGCCAGGCACTGAGAAAAACTATCCCTGGCCTCCTGGAGCTCGTGGGTTGTTGGTAGATACATAAGAGCAGAGCGCCAAGACCCTGTAGTGTGGTTAATTCCACCAGTGGCCTAACTACTGGGAATGATGGGAGGGGAGAGATGCAATAAGCTGTGTATTTTTAAGGCCCACTCTGGCTACAGTGAGGTGAAAGGTGATTGGGGAGGAGGCGAGGTTAGAGCCAGGGAGGCAGTTAAGGTGAGTGCTAGTGTTTGGTGAGCAGCGTAGGTCCTGGGATAGAGTGGTGAACAACACAGGCTTAGTCTCTACTCTCAAGTGAAGATCTAGATAATCTGAGAGTGAGAAATGAAGAAAATAGAGCAAGTTAAGGTTTCTGTCACAGCCCGTGCTCCGAATCCTTTGTAATTTAGAGATGCATTAAGGTGTTCTCTCTCAAGCGATGGGCTCCCTTGCTCTAATCTTCTAAAATATTTTCCTGTTTTTATTATATAGGAGGGTGTGTTTCTAACTTGACCATACTCTCCTTACTCATATTGATCGCCTATACTGTGTGTGTTCTGTGATGTTTTGCCAGTTTCAGTTGGGATTGGTGTTTTCACTCCATTTAAAGACTGCATTCAGCTACTGTGAAAGTGCTGTCGTTCAAATAAAGGACTTTGGTGTCATTTCCCCTTGAGCAAAAATGCAGCAGTCAAGTCTAATTTCGAGAGCTTTCCCCTTCTAAACATTAGAAATGCATTTTAGGTTCTCATTCTTAAACAAGACCTTGTTGCTATTAGTTATTTTAGATAAGTAAGCTAATCAACCCTAAAGAAGAATTTCATGGGAAATCATTAAATCGTCGTGAAAGCGTTGAGAGGTGGTTCAGGAAATTTGAGCTGAGGGCCTCTCTCTGTCTTTGCTAGCATGTACCAGTTAGTGGCATGTATGGAGCAATCACTCCGGTTGTATGGTGGCTTCATGCCATCAGGGACCCACGCTCCCATCTTTCTGCTTCACAGCCTTAACATGTGGCCTCAATTTCACCTCTTTCCAATTATAATTGTGTTCGGGCAGGAATGAGAATGGAGCAGGGAAAAGAACAAGATTTCAGTTGAGTTAGTCCCTTTGAAGAGTCTTTCCTGAAAGCTCCACCCAGTGATTTAATAGCCTTTCTTGGCTGCAAGGAATTCTGGGAAATGTAGTCTTTTAATGGTCACATTGCCACCTGTAATAAAATGAGGATTTTGTTAGTAAGGAAGAAAAGGTGAATGATGGTTAGGAAAGCAACTTGCATTCTCTGCCATGCTTAACTGTGCATCTCAGCCAGGAAATTGATGACATTTCATTCACTTAATGACAGAATTAAGCCATCAGCACCAGCAGTCGGTGCAGCCTTTCACCTGCCTTGAGATATTAAACAGCTCGCTGACATATCTCCAGCTGCGTTTCTGAGCCCCTGGCGGTATTCATGTAAGAAGCCGGAGCCTTGGCCTAACTTTGCACAGGACCCCTGCTCGTTCCACTCTTGCTCTAGAACATACTCTTTCCCATTTATTGCATTTCACAGCAGGTGGCAACCTTTGTTTTCTATCTTGGGCTGTGTAGGTAAAAAGTATCTTTGGCTGTGAGGTGCTTATAGATTTTTAGAGAATTTTTAAATGTTTTCACCTAATTTTAAGAATTAAAAACACTGTAAAATAATCTAGCAAAGTTGTACTGAAAACAATATAGAGTTTGGACTATGGGATTATGGATGAAAAAGAGAACACATACTAACCCTGACAAGCTCAGGGGAGGCTTGCATGGTGGGCCTTACAAACCCAGAGACCAAAAGTAACCACACAAGGTGGTCTAAATGTAAAAATTCCTAACTAAAAGCAGGTCATGGTGGGTTGTCATATCCTAGGCCTGTAGCTTCCTTGACAAAAGTCAATCTTTACCTTTGAAATTGTCTAGTATCTTTGTGCATCAAAGATAACATACCTTTGAAATGTCAGAGTAATTTTCTTTTCCAGACCCCTCAGAGCACAACCACGGGCACCAGAGCACAAGACCACATTGTTGCCCACATTCCATCTATATACACTGTAAATATGAACTATCCTGTACCCACCAATGTAAAAGAAGTATGTGTCTCTGCACTTTGCTTTTTATCCAATCACAGAGGCTTCCCTGCTTTGCTTTCTCCCACGTGCCTAATGCACCACCAATGGGTTTCATGTAACCCTCCTTACATCTCCTCCCTTGAGTCCAATGGATAGAATAAGCTTCAGAACTGCCATTCTCCAGAGTATTTCCTCAATCCATTGAGATTTTGTTTCCTGGTAATTGTCATAAGTTTGGCTCAAATAAAATCTTATAAGACTTTTTCTGGATGTTCTTTTGCCGACAGGATTAGACCTGTACATATCCTGATCCCACCACCATTCTGTTGGGTCGTCAGGAAAGTCATGACGCATTTTTGCGTTGAAAAACATAGAAAAATATGTCATGACTTTCCCGACAACCCAAAAGTTGTGTGATCTTGGACAAGTGATAGAAACTTAGTTTCTTCACTTGTAAAATAGAATGATACTAGTTCCTACCTCATAATTTTGATGAGGCTGAGATGAGATACCTGGCCCATGGTGAGTGCTAAATACCTCTTAGCTGTTATTTTATTAAATCAATAAAACGTAAAACATCGCATATGAAGATCACGACCAACTAAGGGAAAGGAGAAAAGGGGAATTAGTAACTGGCATGCAAAGGTGAAAGATGCCCAAAGGGATGGGGACTGAGGCAGCAGAATAATAGAGCACGTTTTTCCTGCTCTGCCAGCTGCCTCCAACTGCTCTGAAGATGGTAAGGTTCTCTTGGGCCATGGATAGGCATAGCCAGCAACAGTACAGTGGGGTGGTGGTACTCAGGATGCATGGCTGAGTGGCGCTTCAAATGACAGTGCAGAGGCTGTATCTATCTGGGACCAAGCTCTTGTGAGAGGTGTATGAAGGGTTGTCCTTCCATGCACTGGGACACTGAGGTCCCTGGGTATACATAGTAACAGCGTATCTATTGTGACTGGTTACCATGTACCCCTTTTTGAGAATGAAACTAGGGAGAATCAGACACAGGTGGCTGCCTTCAAAGTGTAATTTATACAACACTGGTTTTGAAAAAGTCAGTACAAGTTCTTTTATTCAGCATTATTGGTTACTATGTTCTAGGACCTGTTCTAAGCACTTAAAAGAATACATATAAAACTCATATATTCTTCCCACCAACCCTTTGAGGTAGGGACTATTATCCCCATTTTACAAGTAGGAAAACAGAGGTATCAAGACATAAGGTCACTTGCCAGAGAACACAGTTAACAGCCTGGAAGCTGGTTTCAGAGCCTCTGCATTTAAGCTAATCTGAGACAATCACGGCCTCCATTAGTTCCCTTTGGTGGAGAAACATTGCTCCTGCCTGCTGTTAGGCGAAGGTTTAGCTGGTCATAAAATCGTGTGCAGGGAAGGATTTGCACACAGTTGGAGGGCAGGAGGGTGGGGCAGCTGCTTGCTGGGAGAAAAGGAAGACCTACTCTTGATCCACTTGTTGAAGAGTCGCAGGGGATTTCCAAGCATAGGGTGGGCTCTCTCAAGTGCAGTTTAACACAGCCGGAGAAAGAATTGACAAATGTATGTTTTATTTCTTCCACAAATAGAGTATGTGTTCGTTAAATGAATGTTCAATGAACCACACTGAGACCGGATTTCAGCCAACTGATACTAAGGTTACTGCATAACAGAGGTTATTTCTCTACTTCCTGTTTTTATCAGGATCCAAAAATGTGTTGTGGGTACCTTCCCCATAACAACATTTGTATAACCAACGCTTGAGGCTAGAGGTTGGCAAGTGGGATATTACTGTTGGACCTGAGATGCCAGCTCTGAACCGCTGGGTGCCCCTTCTGCATGGGTCGAACAAATGCATTGAATGTCTGTGGTCACCAGCAAATGCCCAGCCCAAGGTCACAGCCCACATTTAGCATGCTTTATGCCTCATGGCCTGCAGATTGATTTTCAGTCCCCTGGTCCTGAAGTCTAACTTGAATAAACACTTTTTCCTATGTTGATATTTCTGATCTTCAAATTATTGTTTACCGTTTTATTTGTGGTAAGTGAAACACTTTCTTAGGGGGTATAAAAATAAATCATAATATAAAATAAATCAGGCTTCACTCTCTCTGAAGCCTCCCCAGTGTGGCTCCCCAGCTGCTTAGTACCTGAGCTGCAGGTGGAAAAGGAAATGCTGCATGTGACAGGGATGTCCTTTTCCAGTCTTCGCCCTGGCCCAGATTCTTTGACATGGGTGCCCCACAGCCATCGTCACAAGTTTTTACCACAAGGAGGGGCGTAGCTGCTGCAGGACGTTCTGCCTCACCCTTTGCAGAGGACCCGGAGACAGCACAGAGCTCAGGCCCTGCATCCACATGAGGCCTCAGAACCTGGTGCCTGCACAGACTGAGCCTTAGTCCCTTGGAGGTGTGCCCTGGTTCTGGTCAGCTGGATAGATTCAGGGAGCAGGGGACAAGAGCAAGACTTGGTCTCATAGGAAGTGCCGTGTCCCGTGCAAGTGCAGCAAGGGCGGTGGGGAGTTAGAGGGGCGGTGCAGGGTTAAAGAAACACAAGAGTCAAGGATAGAGTTAAAGCGGGGCCAGGGGGGGCTGCAGTCTCTCTGGAACTGAGCCCCGAATCGGGCCAACGCATGGATTTTGTTTGGAAACTTCAAAGAAGTGAAGCTTGTTTATTCTAAAGTCCGTGTGATACGTGCCTTATGGCTGTTTTCCATCGACCTGCCCAATTGTATTCCAACACTGGCAGTGCCTTCATACTCCCTGGCACTCAGTCCCCAGGATGGCATCGCTGTACCGCGGCCATAAAGATAAGGGAGATAACCCACATCATTCCATTGGGTCTCAGCCTTCGGAGACACTTCCTCATGACCTCATTAGGTCAGGAGTTGGGGGGGAGGGGCGGTCGAGGACGTAGCTGTAAGGCAACAAGGAAGTGTTAAGAACTTTCACAACTGAAAGCTTTTCTGAAAGAAAGGGTTTACTTATTGAGCCACATGCCAGCTAAAAAAGGGACCAGGTCTTGGGGCACGCAGTTTGAAACACCAGCAACCAGCCTAGATGGAGAAGACATACATGTCTGCTGTCCTGCAGGTGACGGCTTTTTTGTTTTGGGGAAGCAAGATGGAAGTTGTTTTGAAAGAATTTACATTGGCTACAGATAAGGGAAAAGGTGAAGTGGGCGCAGTGCTAGGATAGGTGCACAGGCTGTAAGGAAGTAATATTTACTATTGATTGGTTTTGTGCAGCACTCCTAAAAGTTCATGTGTAAGCAGGATGCAGTGGCATCCGGTGACCTGCAACTTCTTTTTAGATAGTGACCTGGAAGTTGATTCAAAGCTGTAACATACATTCAGGCATGTGGCCCACAGCTATTAACTGGGTAATTACTCTTGTCTCTTTCTCTCACCCTTCTGCCTGCTGCCATTTAGGACCTCTCAGAGTTTTTCTCTTGTCAGAAGCTTTTCAGCTTTCACTTCTACTTTTTCACACTTGGGATATTTTTGCCTCTCACTTTCTGGGTTTTTTAATTTTCATTCTTTTTTTTTTTTTTTTTTTTTTTTTTTTTT